ACAATACATTCACACAATTCAATCAGACAATACATTCACACAATACAACCAGACAATACATTCACAAATACAACCAGGCAATACATTCACATAAATACAACCAGACAATACAGTCATGCTATACAACCAGACAATACATTCACACAATACAATCTGACAATACAGTCATGCTATACAAACAGACAATACATTCACACAATACAACCAGAAAATACGATCAGATAATTCAATCAGGCTAGAGTGGAAGGTGTGGAATCACATACTGACCTGTTGGAAACTTTGAGACAATACATCTCACACAATACAACCAGACAATACATTCACACAATACAACCAGACAATACATTCACACAATACAATCTGACAATACAGTCATGCTATACAACCAGACAATACATTCACACAATATAATCTGACAATACAGTCATGCTATACAACCAGACAATACATTCACACAATACAACCAGAAAATACGATCAGATAATTCAATCAGGCTACAGTTGAAGGTGTGGAATCACATACTGACCTGTTGGAAACTTGAGAGCAAATTTCCCTTCTACCTTGTCAGTGACTAGATCGCACTGCGTCAGGTAGCATGACCAATCAGTGAGGGTTTCAAATCCTGGATCTTTAAACATTTCTTGGCAATACATTAGAGGCAACATCAGCAGCACCATATAGAGAGACCAGTCCATGGCTGCTGCCTTGAAGGTGGAGACTATCCCCGGCCTCCTATTTGACCTTGTGTAGGACCTTCACCTAGTTTGATTACAGAGGAACAAAGTAGAATCTACCCTACTTCCAGTTGTACAAGGTGTTTTTGAGCCAGACCCATATAAGTGAAGAATTAATGCATGAACATAAGGAAGCTTTTACATATGGTTGCCCTTCAGATAAAGCGGAATGGACAAAATAGTGTAAGACCCAAGTCAAGTAAGGCAGATAAAGAATGATAGATTGCTTAAAAAATGAATAAAAGATGATTAGTGAGAGCGTGTGGTTTTACGCCGCTTTTATCAATGTTCCAGCAATATCACGTCGGGGACACCAGAATTGGTTTAACCCATTGTACCCGTTTACAGAATCGAACCCGGGTCTTCAGTGTGACGAGCCAACGCTTTAACTACTAGGCTACCTCTTCGCCCACTAACATGATTAAAGCAAATAGACTGGGATAAAACATTTAGAATGCTTTCAAAATGCAGCTGTTGTTCCATGCCAATTTCACCTCCACACAAGTCACACTTGACTTCCCATGCCTACTGAAATACTTGAGAGACATTCTGTAACACTGTAGTAATCTCAACAAGCTCTGACGTACCTGGTATGAACACCTGGTGTCATCTGTACACTACAGTCATTTATGATGTGATGTCTCAACTGTGACCAGTGAAGGTCCGGGTTAGAATGAACCTTCAGTACCCCATGCTTGTCGTAAGAGGCGACTAACGGGATCGGGTGGTCAGGCTCGCTGGCTTGGTTGACACATGTCATTGGTTCCCAGTTGTGCAGATCGATGCTCATGCTGTTGATCACTAGATTGTCTGGTCCAGACTCGATTATTTACAGACCGCCGCCATATAACTGGAATATTGCTTAGTGCGGCGTAAAACTAAACTCACTCACTAACACACTTAAATGTAAGTAAGTAGTCAGTCTTTAACACCTATGCTTTCACTGTAAGTTGGAGGTCATTACTTTTTATGATTTGTTTCGTCTCCTGTAAAAGTACTGACTACAGTCATATATTACCTCCTGGGGGTTACAACTGGTCCTCAACAAACAATGCTGACTGTGACACTAAACACGTATATCGTCAAACACATATAACACACAGAACATATAACTCTAAACACGTATATCGTTAAACACATATAACACTCAGAGCATATAACTCTAAACACGTATATCGTTAAACACATATAACACACAGAACATATAACTCTAAACACGTATATCGTTAAACACATATAACACTCAGAACATATAACTCTAAACACGTATATCGTTAAACACATATAACACTCAGAACATATAACTCTAAACACGTATATCGTTAAACACATATAACACTCAGAACATATAACTCTAAACACGTATATAGTTAAACACATATAACACTAAGAGCATATAACTCTAAACACGTATATCGTTACACACATATAACACTCAGAACATATAACTCTAAACACGTATATCGTTAAACACATAACACATATAACTCTAAGAGCATATAAACTCATATAACACGTATATAACTCCTAAACACGTTAAAACATATAACACTCAGAGCATATAACTCTAAACACGTATATCGTTAAACACATATAACACTCAGAACATATAACTCTAAACACGTATATCGTTAAACACATATAACACTAAGAGCATATAACTCTAAACACGTATATCGTTAAACACATATAACACTCAGAACATATAACTCTAAACACGTATATCGTTAAACACATATAACACTCAGAACATATAACTCTAAACACGTATATCGTTAAACACATATAACACTCAGAACATATAACTCTAAACACGTATATCGTTAAACACATATAACACTCAGAACATATAACTCTAAACACGTATATCGTTAAAAACACATATAACACTCAGAACATATAACTCTAAACACGTATATCGTTAAACACATATAACACTCAAGAACATATAACTCTAAACACGTATATCGTTAAACACATATAACACTCAAGAACATATAACTCTAAACACGTATATCGTTAAACACATATAACACTCAGAACATATAACTCTAAACACGTATATCGTTAAACACATATAACACTCAGAACATATAACTCTAAACACGTATATCGTTAAACACATATAACACTCAGAACATATATAACTCTAAACACGTATATCGTTAAACACATATAACACTCAGAACATATAACTCTAAACACGTATATCGTTAAACACATATAACACTCAGAACATATAACTCTAAACACGTATATCGTTAAACACATATAACACTAAGAACATATAACTCTAAACACGTATATCGTTAAACACATATAACACTAAGAACATATAACTCTAAACACGTATATAAAACACATATAACATCGACATATAACATATCGTTAAACACATATAACACTCAAAACATATAACTCTAAACACGTATATCGTTAAACACATATAACACTAAGAGCATATAACTCTATAACACGTATATCGTTAAACACATATAACACTAACAGAACATATAACTCTAAACACGTATATCGTTAAACACATATAACACTCAGAACATATAACTCTAAACACGTATATCGTTAAACACATATAACACTCAGAACATATAACTCTAAACACGTATATCGTTAAACACATATAACACTAAGAGCATATAACTCTAAACACGTATATCGTTAAACACATATAACACTCAGAACGTATAACTCTAAACACGTATACCGTTAAACACATATAACACTCAAAACATATAACTCTAAACACGTATATCGTTAAACACATATAACACTAAGAACATATAACTCTAAACACGTATATCGTTAAACACATATAACACTCAGAACATATAACTCTAAACACGTATATCGTTAAACACATATAACACTCAGAACATATAACTCTAAACACGTATATCGTTAAACACATATAACACTAAGAGCATATAACTCACGTATATCGTTAAACATATAACACTAAGAACATATAACTCTATATCGTTAAACACATATAACACTCAGAACATATAACTCTAAACACGTATATCGTTAAACACATATAACACTAGAACATATAACTCTAAACACGTATATCGTTAAACACATATAACACTCAGAGCATATAACTCTAAACACGTATATCGTTAAACACATATAAGCACACTCAGAACATAAACACTAAACACATATATCGTTAAACACATAAACACTCAGAACATATAACTCGTATATAAACACATATAACACTCAGAACATATAACTCTAAACACGTATATCGTTAAACACATATAACACTAAGAGCATATAACTCTAAACACGTATATATCGTTAAACACACATATAACACTATAACACTCAGAACATATAACTCTAAACACGTATATCGTTAAACACATATAACACTCAGAGCATATAACTCTAAACACGTATATCGTTAAACACATATAACACTCAGAACATATAACTCTAAACACGTATATCGTTAAACACATATAACACTCAAAACATATAACTCTAAACACGTATATCGTTAAACACATATAACACTAAGAACGCATATAACTCTAAACACGTATATCGTTAAACACATATAACACTAAGACATATAACTCTAAACACGTATATCGTTAAACACATATATAGAACATATAACTCTAAACACGTATATCGTTAAACACATATAACACTCAGAACGTATAACTCTAAACGTTAAACACATATAACACTCAGAACATATAACATATAACTCTAAACACGTATATCGTTAAACACATATAACACTAAGAGCATATAACTCTAAACACGTATATCGTTAAACACATATAACACTAAGAGCATATAACTCTAAACACGTATATCGTTAAACACATATAACACTCAGAACATATAACTCTAAACACGTATATCGTTAAACACACAAGAGCATAACACTCAGAACATATAACTCTAAACACGTATATCGTATAACTCTACACATATCGTAACACATAACACTCAGAGCATATAACTCTGAACTCATACATATATATATACCCATTGCACATAAAACTATTGTATAATTTTAAACACATATAACTGAAAGCACAAATAAGTCTGAACACATATAAAACTAAACATTCGTAACACCGAACACACCATGACACTAAATCATCCAGCCCTGCAGTAAAGGTGGTGTTTTCACCTGATCGTGACAACTGATTTGCCCAGAAACATCCCACCGAAACCTGATGTTGCACTATAACAAATATCATGCTTTGTCGTGAGGTGTTATATCCTGATCGTGTAATACAGGTGCTCAACATACATTGCACACGGTCAGTTTCCCCATCAGCATCATGTGGACGCACCTGTTTCTGGCTCTGCTCTTGTTCACCTATGTAGGAGCATTGAAAGGGTAACTCTGATTTCATGTTTAATTCTTTGAAGCCATGAAACGATCTGGAAAACAACAGTTGTAATGTCTGTACCGACGTTTCTACAGGTACGATGCCCTTTCCAGTTTTGTAATGTCTGTACCGACGTTTCTACGGGTACGATGCCCTTTCCAGTTTACAGTTGTAATGTCTGTACCGACGTTTCTACAGGTACGATGCCCTTTCCAGCTTCTAAATGCATATTCCAGACTTCATTTACTTTCCTACATTAACTTCATGCATACATCATACACTTTAACACACAAGCTGGCACATTATCTATAGAGTATCTGATACTGCCACAATATGTGCGCCCTGTCCGTGTGTAGCGTGTATCATGTGATATTGATGTTTTGTTCACATCCACAGGAACGTGTGTTCTCGTACAGTTGCGAAGTACAGAAAGGTGCGTCGATGTGCCTACCGGACCTGGCAAGGGTATTTCATTTTTCTTCATCTACAGATTTATTAAAATAGGAGAAGCGTGGTATACATATACATATGATAAAGTATCGTACATTGCTTAATGCTGTGATGTTACAATTGTAATATAATGCATTTATCACCCATACAAATCCGTGGAACAAAAAAATGCATAATTATGAATGTAGGTGCGTACATATTTGTAGCCACAAGCCAGAAAAACTACTGGGAGGGAATATAATAAGTATAATATGGGTGGGAATTAAAACAACCTGCTACTCTGCCATGCGGGCAAACGGCGGCCGTAAACTACGACATCTGCTGGTGCAAGAAGAGGGAATAACTCCTGTTTAACGCCAATACAGATGTGTGTGTGTGTGTGTGTGTGTGTGTGTGTGTGTGTGTGTGTGTGTGTGTGTGTGTGTGTGTGTGTGTGTGTGTGTGTGTGTGTGTGTGTGTGTGTGTGTTTTAATCCCAATTACATCAAAATACATGTTATACCACAATAAGACCAAACACACCGCGGGCTACAAAACAGTGGTTGTCGGACGGTAATGTTGAAGTTTTAGACTGGCCCAGCTACAGTCCAGATCGTAACCCTATTGAGAATGTGTGGGGACCAATGAAGGTCAGGATAAACCATATTGAGCATATAATAATATTGAGCATATGAAGAAAGAAATGGTGGAAATATTGGGATACGCTGTCACTATTTTCCTAGTACCCCGGCAGCATGTAATTGAAATGTACAAGCTGTGGCTGATAAAACTTGTTCAGGGACGTACTGTACCCCTAGTCTCTTGAAAAGGTTTCTTCGCTGACAGCAATTCACGAACCGACAGTAACGTCGTATGCCCTCCCGACGCTGGCCAGCAGCCTAACGGAGAGTTTGATTCGTGTCATTTAAAATCAATGTTTTCAGGAATGTGAATGATTTATTTCAAAGGCCACTGACCATTACAAAAATAAACAAAATAGTCATCAAAATTGATGTATTTTTGATGCATTCTTTCGATGGATTCCTGACAGACGCAAGTGTCTAACATAACTGTTTAATATTCAGGCATATAGCAGTGTTTGACCTCGAAATAGAAACTTTGTGAGCTATTTCAAGATGAAAAGATAATGATTAGTCATCAGTTATGTCATTGTTTGAAAATAGCTCTAAAATATCATTGATAGGAACACTTATTTTCATACTTCCAGGTGTCGTTATTACAGATACTACTGGGTCCCTGAATACACCACCATCTACTTCTGTTGTCAGGGATGGAGGCATTCGGGAGATTACAACTGTAATGAAAGGGTAGGTGATGGAACACAGTATATATGTAGCAGTTTGTCATACTCATCGTCCATCTGTAAATACACAGTGAGCACAGGATAATTCCTCAAGATAGTCATTGATGTTTGTTTTCCTTGTTTAACACCGTGCTCAGCAACATTGTGGCTACACTCTGGAAATGATCGAGTCTGGAACAGACAATCCAGTGATTAACATTACAAAGCATCACTTTACCCAAACTGGATACGACCACATGCATCCACCAAGGCAGCAAGCCTGACCGCAAGATCCCGTTCCGAAGACCAATCCATATCCGAATCTTTAAGGGGTAGTCAGTGAATATTTCTTTGAGAGGCATTTTAGAAGTTGTATAGATGAAGGAAAACCAAGTTCTATGGATTGTCAACTTCTTTATTGCACACACTATGCAGCTATGCATATATTCTCCATGTAACAACTCTTTGTATCACTTGCTTGATGACGGTGTTAAAGTACTGTCGGAAATAGAAAAAAACTGTTTTTTTCGCATTGATATCTACAATTTATGTAGTTAATAGTGTAAGTGTGAAATATCTGTTGAACTTAGTTCGGCCTAACTACAGTCTCAGTGGTAGGGGATAGGAAACGTAGAAAAAGGACTTTACTGAGGAGAGATTAGTGCAGAAATGAGAAATTCGGGTTTTTTCAAAGTCCAAAGCGACTTATTTGGAACAGACCATGGCTTTAAGCAAATTAGTGTGCGATGATATTATATTACAAAGGACAATTTTTTAATGTCCATTTTGAAATTAAACTTAGCTTCATTATAAACGGTAGCTAACATAAACAATAATAACTTTACTACGGAAACCATGAAGGAGGTCGCGGCCATGCAGTCTCACTATCACTAGAAAAAGAAACCGGTAGGAGGGATAGTCTCAAATGCAAAACCAAGACGGGTGTTTCTGACGGTAGTTGGGGTCGGGCTTGGGGATAGAGATATTAGCTAAGATTAGATAACCAGTAGAGACATATTCAATACACATGAAAAAGCATAAAAGATATTTGAGATGACCCTTGTGTCTGTGGGCAGCACGTGCATTTCATGCCAAGTGAGTTGACGGTCCGTTGTCATACCTGGCTGAGCGACCTAATTGCCATCTATAATCTGATCTATTGTTTTCAGCAGCTGTTCGTATTTTGTCTAAGTTTTGCCCGATTTTACGAGTAAACATGCTTTTCTGGATATCTTATTACGCATCCCACTGAACGCCCAGTTAGGCCGATGTGGGTTATTTCGACATATGCTATTTGCAATTGTGTAAATTTTCCAATAGTACCTACACCGAACCTTCGCACCCATTGCAATAAAGAAGTTGACTATCCAGAGAACTTGGTTTTCCTTAAGAAATGAATTTCACATTGTGGTGGTTTACTGGAGTATGGTGCAAGTTAAAGTCGTCTAAATGTCGGAGCTTGCTGGCCATGTGATCAGCAATTAGACCAATCAAATCACTGGAGATACCTTAAACTTCAAAAAGTACGATACTCAAGTTTATCCCTTCTAGAAGCTGTTTCGAGAGGCATGATTATTGAGTCAGCAGAATACTAACGACTTCTAGAGATCTAGTTGATTCTATTTTGTCATGATTGTAAACTCTATAATGCTGTACTTATTCCTGGTTCCTGGTCGGTGAACCACAGAAGATGGAACAGTGCCAGCGCCTTCTCTGTCTTTATTGTACTGATACTGGCAATAAAAAACATCCATGGAAGATGTGAGAGTATTTGACAATCATTTCTGATATGAGCAGAGCTGTCACTCAGTGGTTACAAACAATGTCATGGAATACAGTGCTAAAGTTTAGTGTTACACTGACGTTCATAGGATAGAGGGTCTGTCCGGAGAGAGAGAGAGAGAGAGCGACGCCGGGGGTTCGATCCCAGGCCGGTACAAACCGAAAGACCTCAAAAGCAGCTTGTTGTCCGACATAAGGGGAAAATAGGGACTTATCGGCTCACAGTCAAAATTATGTCTCTGAGGGTTAAGGTGTGTAGTGTTTAATAGGGATTTAGGGGCAGTGAATGGGTACCTGGTAGTATAGTGTGAGAAGGTAATGTTATTTAATGTTGTTAAATACAGGTTGAAATGGATGCAATAAAGGAACAGGCAGGTGGGTTAGGTTCGCAATCATTCCGGCAGGGACCTCGCACACTGCATATGGAGCCAAAATACAATCAGTCAACAGATTTCGAAGAACATTAAGACCCCTTATGACTGTGTGTGTGCGTACGTGTGCGTGCGAGCGTGTGTGTGTGTGTGTGTGTGTGTGTGTGCGTGCGTGCGCGTGCGTGCGTGCGTGTGGCGGGGTGCGTGCGTGGCTGTGTGTTCGTGGTTGATGGAATCTAAGGATAACATGCTTACATTTCAATTTAATGAAAATGATACAGTTTTGAACCTTGCCCCAGATGAGCTTTAGTGATGGGTTTATTTTTACGCCACACTCAGCAATATTCCGACTATATGGCGACTGCCCAAGATGAAGAGTGGGCCACTAGCGAACCTTTTATAAACACATGGATGAGGTGTCTCGGCATTATAGCTATCCTGCTGCATGGGTCTGTATTATATAGTGATTTCACTGCATTTATAACAAACAAGGTCAGATTTGTCGGCCTGTATGCGTCTCAGGATACATATGGGTCTGTTCTAAACAATGTCATATAAATCCTCATTATTTTATCATCATTCTTATTGCAGCTCTGAATTCCGCCAGCATGGTAAATAACTATCCGTTGAAGTAAATAGCGATGTTTTGAGTATTTTATTTAAAAACTGACTTGTAGGAACGAATTTGAGCCTTTGAGCTTTAAGTCTTTTGGTGATAAAATATGTAAAGCACCTTTTTAGAAGCAACACCATATAGATTGGTTTTGTTTGGCCAGTATTCAGTGACGGCGTCATGTAACGTGGACATGTTTCCGGTGCGAGTCTCACGCTGATGCGAGGCTTCATGCAGCTGGTATCATCTCACACCTCATACCGGAACTAGCAGCTATATCCCTGATATTCCTCACGTGTAACACCGTGTCGCATTAGAAATTACACAGGTTGAGCTATGGTGTTTATCACTTGTGTGTTTGGTGTGAGACTGTTCACACCGGCACAGAACACGATGCATCTGTGTCTGATTATCCAGCGTAGTGTAACTCCATTCTATACTTAATAAAAGTAGAGGATCATGAAATATGTATATAAACATGTGTGTAATAATTTTCACGAACAGAAGTCCTGAATTAATTTCCAAAATATGTCACCATCTTTACAACTTTAAATTAATTCTATATATTACAATAGTTTCCTCATATATTAGTCCATGCAGGTAGCAAAGGAACTGTAAGTCCTCATGGTGCCTAGAAAGGTGATCTTCATGGAATCCTATGCAATAAATTTCTTATCTTATTTTATCTTATCTTATCTAAACACTAAGTATTAGAACAAAGATAAGTAGTGACGACAAACATTGTTTTGAGTGAGTATAGTTTTACGCCGTAATCAGCAATATTCAGCTATACTCCTCACAAAAACTTAAGCAACAAATATTGTCAGTGTGATATCTTTATCAATCTCGATAGCGATTTTTGCCGACATGTTACTGAAAGGTAAATATTCAAAGAATACATAATCTTTAGTGACTGTCAAATTGATTTATCTGATAACATTGACAACATCACCCGAACACAACCACCATCAGAAACAACATGCGAAATGTGTGGCATGAATGTGCTCCACTCTTCACGCATGCACACAGATTGGTTTAAACCTAGGTGTAATCATTCCTCTGGTACAACACGCGGGTCCTAAAAATAACTTCATTTTTATGGATGATAATGCCCGTCCATGGATGATAATGCCCGAGAAAGAGTTGTTTACGATGTTGTTTAGATCAACAACATCTCACATATGGACTGGCTTGCAAGGTCACTTGATCTTAATCCCATGCTTGGGGCATTATTGGAAGTCGTGTTTACGGTCTCCATGTTCACCCCCCGACTCTGGATGAGGTGAGGTGAAATTGGGTTTTACGTCGTACTTGAGAATATTTCGCTCATATGACGACGTGCATGCGTGTGTATGTGTATGTGCGGCTGCTTGTACTAGCCCAGACTTAAGCTGGTTTTAGAGTGCTAGCCCACTGAGATACCATGCCGCAGTGAAGCATGAATACCCCACTCAGACACATTATACTGCCTCCGAGCCGACCAGTCCTTGTTGTACCCATTAATGCCGAGCACCAGACAGACACCAACAAGTACCATATTTTAACGTCTTTTGGTATGACGCGACCGGGGATCGAACCCGCGACCTTCCGCTCTCCGGGCGGACGCTCTAACCACTACACCACGGATGCGGTCGAGTCTGGATGACCTTGAGTAGGCGTTACAGAGAGAATGGCAGAACATTCCACAACAGCAACCTTAAAAGCTCATTTGGTCAATGCAAATACGTGTAGAAGCTTGCATTTGTGCTCATGGTGATCATACGTGTTACTGAGCACTGCTTCACTGTCCAAAACTGACTTGAACCTTAATGTTAACATTTTGCTCCATCAATGCTACACATTTTGCACGACTGTTTCACGGCTACATGCTTTTGATGATTTGTATGTCTATCATTGCTCAATACCATTTCATTTCATTTTGTTAATCGTGTGGACATACGTTTCACCTTTCTATTGCATCATTCCATGATTTGGAATTTCAATAATGTAATTTTCTGAATAAAATTGATATTTTATACTTATCCTGACTCATGCTCTTTTGCTTGTCTTCTTCTTCTTACGAACATAGTGGAACACTTGTATCTCCCTAATTGAAGCTCCCTTCAATGTAAAATCACTAATTAGTACTCACCACGAGTTGCCTCCCTCTTCCTTAGCGCGGGAAAGGAGGCGCCACCCTCTGGCCTCATGCTTCACTCTCTCCTGATATAGCGAGCCCAACACTTGAATTTACAGGGAAATCCAAAGTGTTATGTGGGGAAGATGGGAGGGCTTACCTCATGAGTCAGGATAAGTATAAAATATCAATTTTATTCAGAAAATTACATATTTTTCCTTATCCTGACTCATGCTCTTTTGCTTGTAGAATCCTACGGAAACGGAGGTGGGAAAATCAGAATACTTTGGATTTAAACAATTAGTGATTTATATATACATGTAATAACCCCCTACGGGAACTTCATAATGGCACTGAATTAGGATAATTCCTGCTACTATAAACCATAAGTTTACCAGCTGCCATAGATGGGGTACTACAATAATATACTATGATAATAGCAGTAATGATATAAAAAACGACTCCAATTGGAGAGGCTACCCAACTGTACATAAACATCAGTACTGGGCTTAAGACTAAGTAGACTTAAGATATGTATATAATTAGCCCTAAAACTCCGTAGAGTTACAAGCTAAATGATACTGGTATGATATATACATAATAATCTCGTGAGACTATGTCTCATCGTCTACGAGGGACTGTCAACTGCTGTGCGAGGACCATGGGACCGAAATGGTGAATTTCTGACATCCTGGCTGCCGTTGCTAGGGATAACAGGAACAATGTTTTCTGTGAGAGAAATTCAAAAGTTGTTGATTCCAGTGGTTCATAAGCCTCACTTGTGAGGTGTTGGAGCACTATATTTAGATCCCATGCTGGAGCGCGGAACTTCTGTTTCTGATCCTCCAATCGGAATGCACGTAGTAAGGCCAGTAACTCTGGTGTTTTGGTCAACTTGACACCCGTTCTCATAGTTATCACAGAACTAAGCGCGGCAAGATATGTTGACAATGTCGAGCCTTTTAAATGTTTATTTTGGCATAAGTAACACAGATAGTCAGCCACTTGTGGATGTGTAGCATTTCTCGCTGTAAATCCCTTTTTAGCTGCGTAAGTTTCGAAGCTGTGCCACTTGTCGTCGTACAAGTTACGTGTAGAATAGCGTAAGCAAGTGTGACTGCTTTCGCCGCTCTGGCTGAATAACCTCTCTTGTTTAGACACACTTTAATACAGTCCATACGTGAAGTTGGAATGCTTCTGTGTTTCCGTGCGCTTGTTTGGTGTGAGGATGTATTAGTAGATTCGAGCGCTTTGGTAGCTCTAGTGTTGGTTGTCCGATTTCTTGAATTAGAATGGGAAACCACGTTCTCGCTGGCCAGTAGGGCACGACCAAAATCAGTTGGAGGCTCTGTGTTTGTCTGATTTTCTGTAACACTTGTGGGATTAACGCTGGAGGCGGAAACGCGTACGCGTTGAGGACTTCCCAGGATATGCTTAGAGCGTCCGTTGCCCACGCTTGTGGATCCGGGACTGGTGATACGAATGTTGTTAGCTGATTGTTGAAGCGAGTGGCGAATAGATGTGGATGGAGCATCCATTCTGTCGGTGACGGTAGATGTGGCCGAGAGACTGCGTCTTCTAGTACATTCTTGGCTCCGGGAATGTGACATGCTCTGACATGTAAGTTGAGATCGTCGATTAGATCAAACAGTTGAAAGCATAAAGTCAATAGGTTTAGTGATCTCGTTGAGCCTTGTTTGTTTACATAAAACGCCACTGTTGAGTTGTCGGTGTGAATCATCAGATGCGCCTTCTGTAGAATGGTGCTCCAATGTAGTATGGCGTTGATTACAGCTTTCATCTCTAGCATGTTTATGTGGAGCTTGTTTTCTTGCTGATTCCATAACCCTGATGCCCGTCCGGTTGGCGAGATGAGCTCCCCAACCTTGGAGCGACGCGTCTACATTGAGATGGGTTTTGAATTCCGGCTCTGTTAAATAAATGCCTTCACAGACATTCGACCTCCTGGTCCACCATAGTAGATGAGGTCTGATGTGTTTCGGTAGACTGAATGGTTGTAGGTCGTCGAGATGAGCGTTGATGAAGACCTGTAACGGACGTAACTGTAGTCTGCCTCTGACAGTCATGTCTTGGGCTGACGTGAGGAAACCAGACAGACTCTGCCATTGTCGTAGTGGTAGCGGAGAGAGTAAGGCTTGTGGGATGGTCTGTTGGATCTTGAGCCATCGGTCTTCTGGTACGACGATACGGTTCAGTGTCGTGATAAATTGAATGCCTAGAAACTGCAGATCTTGCGTTGGTACTAGGTCCGACTTGAGTAGATTTACTAACCATCCTAGCTGTGTTAGTAGCTTAATGATGAAGTTTAACTGTAGTTTGAGATGCTGTGGATCTTGATCTACTTGTATCCCGTCGTCGAGGTAAAACGCACTGCGTAGCCCTAGACGATGTAGGTAAGTGACGATAGGTTTCGTTACTCTTGTGAATAACCAGGGGGCCGATGATATTCCAAATGGGAGTACTTTCCATTGATAATTCAGCCCGTCTAGTGCAAACCGTAGGTATTCCTGGATTCGGGATGTATCGGGATGTGTAGATAGGCATCCTGCAGATCTATACTGGCCATGTAGTCCATGGGACGAATTAGGTGCCGTAGTTGAGGTAGATGTATCATGCGAAAAGTTGGCGGTTTGCGTAGATAATCTCTGTTGAATGTGCTCATGTTGTTAATAAGTCTGTATTTCTCCTTGGAGTTTTTCTTGGGCACAAGGAAAACTGGGGAGTAGAAGCCTGGTTCGATGTTTACTTGATCTAGTACTTCTGTGGCCTGCTTGGTTAGGAGAGATGTAACATCCTCTCTTAACTTTGGTAGTTGATGGCGCCTGGAAGTCGAACTTGTGAGGGTTGACTGTCAGCGTAGGCGTGGCCTGTAGTTGGATACGATATCCGTGTTGAAGAATGTTGGAGACATATGGGTCTTGTAACATTCCCCAGTTCTCCCAGTGCAGTTGAAGGCGTCCACCCACTTGTGACGGTTGTACTGGAACGGCTGGGGGTGGAAGACTCCAGTCGTTCCCGAACCTGTCTTTCATCGTTTATAGTTGCGGGAACCTCTGGGTGCCCTGCCTCTTCCTGATCCTCCTCTGTAGTTGCCATATTGGCAACGAAAAGAATCTTTTCCTCTGGAGCTGGCCATCTTCCTATCCCGTGCTTTCTGTAATCCAGTGAATTTAGATTTCCCTGAATACCTCTGTGAAGTCTGCCTGATGACGCTGGCTAGCGTGTCCATCGACTTTATCATAAGGACTTCTCTAGAATCCTTGGTGACTTCCTTAGAGACTTTGTCTATTCCTCCGTTGAAGATGGATGGCGTAGACCACGGGGCTGTGTAGAGTGGAGCTGTAAACTGCTCACCCCAGCTGCAGGAAGCGAGGAGGCCTTGACGACGAGCCAGGGTTAGTGCTGCAGAGACTGATGTGAGATGATCCATTAGAAACGGCTGGTCCTTCTTTTGCATAAGTAGGGCCGAGTAGACCATTCTGTCATCCTCAGATGTCGAATCTCGAAATCTGGATATAAGAGTCTCATTGATCGTTCTAGATCTATTAAGGCCGAAGAACATTCACCTTGTCATGGTCTCGATCTGAACCAGCTTGCGATCGTCAATCTTATAGTTGTTATTCTTGACATCGTTGATCACTTTGTAGTTGTCATCGATCTCTTGTGCCTTGAAAAAGGGGTCCATATTATGAGTTGCAAACTTCTTAGCGTTGAACTGTGGTAAGTGTGGCGCTTGGACTTTAGTGGCTTTATGGAAGGCTGTGTCCAGATTCTGTGGGACCGTAGCAATCGGGTCGATCGGGGGTAGGGTGATGTTATCTGCATCGTCCTCCCTCATCACGTAAGTGTGTGCCGGATTACCGTTCTTAGGCGGTGAGGCTAGGTCTAGGTTATTCACCATCCAATAGCGTATCTCAGCGTCTGAGAATATGATGCCTCCATGATCTTCTATAACGGGATCGGTTATAAGAGGTTGATGCTCTTCCGATGGTGACCTGTATGGATCTATCTCTGTGCAGGATGACGACACCGGAGACCTGACTGGGGACTTCCGTGAAGACTTGTGCGGCAAACGGTGTGGTGACCTGCAAGGCGATCGGCGAGGTGGACGACGAGGTGATCGGCATGGAGAACGGCGAGGAAATCGTCTTGGTGAACGAGCTGACGAGCTGTGTCTAAATGGTGACCTTCGCGGTGATCTATGTGGCGAACGTTGATAGCTTCGCAAAGCTCTTGGAGAATCCCTCGATGGCCTTCTAGACGAAGATGGCTCAAGGCCCCAGGTAAATGACGATCTAGACGTCCTTCGTGAAGGCCTTCGCGAAGGCTGTACATCTGGGTCCTTCGCCAAGGTGGTCTGTGACATCCTTCGCGGAGGTGGCATCGTAGTGGCCTCTACGTTGACAGGGGGTCCCTCTGGGGTGTCGTCTACGTTGGAGCCTTCGCGAAGGCTCAGGCTCTGGGCTGGTTGTCTCTCCAGTCTGTATCGGTCCTCCATCATCTTCATGATCTGCCGCATCAGGTCGTCTGGGACGGTCTGTGAAGATGTAGTCGGTGCCCTCTCTGCGTTGGTAACGACGGGGCCCTCAGGAAGATCGTCAGACATCAGCGTTGGTACATCAGGCTGCATGGCGATCTGCGCTGACATCACTGTTGCCGACACCGGTCGTTTCTTGTGGCGTAGATCGGGTATGATGATCGGCTGATCATCATACAGGCCCAGTTCTGCGGCGGGAACAATCTCGGCTGAGAAGGTTCTAGACTTCGTTGATTTCCCCTTGGAGGTAGACGCTGCCCTGGGGGTACGGAGTCTGCGTTGAGATGATGTCGAAACCCTCTTAGACTTTGGCTGCGACGACGGGATGTCTGGGGATGCAGGACGCTTCATGGAGACGGCGGACTGCGTCCCACGCCTCTCCTCGGAGGGTAACTCTAGCGGAACACCAGACGAGAGGGGGTCGTCCGACAGCAGCTGACTGGCTAGGGGTTCCGATGTATCGGCCATGGCTAAACCTTGTTTGCGTGATCTATCTGCTGCACGTCTCAAGACGCAAAGATAATATTTATTAAATGCAGAATTAGACAGATTAATACAATAACTGCAACGTGAAGAAAACGCACATGGCGTAGTACAGCTAGGGCATATTAAATGCGGATCAGCAGCAGAAAAACGTAATCTACAAATAGTACAGATTTTCATCAACGTAAACTAGCTGAACAAACACGGCGTCCCGTGAATAAACAGCAGAAAATACGATAATTATCAAAACAAAATTGCAGAAGGATACTAGCTACACCTCTATAGAAGACTATAAGAGGTAATAAACTAAGAATAATCAAAGGATATAGTGTGTAGGGAGACACAGGCGCTCTCACATCCTGCTCACTGGGCGAAGAAGGAGAGAGTGAAGCATGAGGCCAGAGGGTGGCGCCTCCTTTCCCGCGCTAAGGAAGAGGGAGGCAACTCGTGGTGAGTACTAATTAGTGATTTTACATTGAAGGGAGATTCAATTAGGGAGATACAAATGTTCCACTATGTTCGTAAGAAGAAGAAGACAAGCAAAAGAGCATGAGTCAGGATAAGGAACAATAATGACAATGTAATGAGACTACAAATTTGTGTTGCTTAAAGGTCACATGCAACGTAAAACACAACTTTGCAGATTCTGATACCTTTCGGTATGGACATAACGAAACAAAGCGTCAAAATGCAAATTCAACTTATAAAGTTGAAAAATAACTGGCCAAATCAAAACAATTTTCCAGTTTTCTGAATACGGGTTTCAACAGCTGGGCTGCGCCATAGAGCTAGGTCAATCTTGGACGGCTGTCTGGTGAATACAAAGGCTTTGTGAGCTATTTTCATAATGTTTTGTTGATATCCAAGTCAGCGTATGTTATGACACTAAATAAACTGATATAATTTCATTTGTCTATTTCACTACACGATCACTTTCTCAGTTCGAGTGGCCTCTTTTAGAGTTGACAAGCTAACTGGATATAGATATTCCTTGAAAACTCAATGTCTTTTTTTGACACCTGTGTGTCTGCCTGCCTGTCTGCTAATGGCAATATTCAATACCAACTGCTTCGATACACCACATAATAACTTAACACCAATAAGGCTATACACCATGTATTTATGGCGAAGTTCGTGTACATTATGTAATTACACAGACAGGCAGGTATACTTGGACATGCTATGATGTCTGTTGATTGCAAAATGTTATACACAAAAATGAGCATGTATTTACAAAACATAACTTTCTATATATACACACACAATTAGCCGCGGTGTAATTCACTGAGTGCACATTTTGATACTTGCTTCGAAGGTAAACCCAAGTACAAAATATTGCAATTTGCTCGGTTTATTTGTTTTTTCATAATCAGAATGCATATTATATGTCATGAAGAAGTTCTTGTAATTATGTTTGATTTTTTGGTTATTGAGGAGTTCAGCGTTTCATCTTCAATCACCGTAACATGTGTCAACCAAGTCATTGACATCCCGAATTCATTCTACATATGTATTTGGCGTGTGAACAGGCAAGGCAGTTATGACACTCATTCAAATTGATTCCGATTCTGTAACATTAATCATATCTTATGACACTCATTCAAATACGAGTCTGTAAATTATCATATCTGGAGTCCGATGGTTCACAGCATGACCTGTTTTACTGATCAGTGAGACCAGTTGACAACAGGATACCAACCAAGTCTCCAGTCAGCCTGACCAAGCGATCTAATTGTCCCTTTACAACCAGCTCACGTTGCTGGGTACCTGGGGTTCCAGCCCTGAATCCATGCAGAAAGTGAAGCCCCCATGCTACAGCTTCCCTTTAACAACCAGCTAAAACAAGAGGCATTAATTATCATAAATTTTATTTCTGGTAAAATCGTTTGTTGACTCTGTCTACCATAGGTAGTGAGCCATAGCAATGTACAAGACACAGCTAATTAATACAAATTGATGAAAGCCATGGGCAATTGCAAAATACTGATTGCAGGTATTCCATCAATCAACATTCTTGGCTCAACATTGATATCCAATAACCATCAACAGTGACATACAATCACCCAATCTAAGACCCTTTAACTAATATTTCAATCAGTTCAGATTAACATAGAATAAAGCTCTCTGAATACATTTATCACATATGGCAGACCGTCATCCTCAGGATCAATCTTGACCCTAAGGAACAGGAATATATACAATGATTTTCATTATGTCAAATGCCATTTAAAAATATGAATATTAAAAAGATAATTGTAGATACGTTGTGAATAATATTGTTCAACATTCAATAATTAACTTAATTCAAGACAATATTTGATTTTCTAAAAAGCCCTTACAGAAAGTAGACATTCTGAATCAGGTTACTGTGTCTTGAGGAGATAGTCAACTTGTTGCACTTAAGCACACATATTATTAGAGTCTCAATAGGAAAATTATCTCAAGTTCCAAATATATAAATGAACTATAGTTAACAGTCAATATTCTTTCAATTTGAAATAAGACATCCATTAAACTTGCAAACACATTATCAAATTGAAGTTTTGAAAAGAAACGATAAAAATGAAGTTCCATACAATATATCTACTAAAGTTTCAAACTGGCACTCAAAATAAGGATTCAGAAAGATTACCAGACTGAATTTCAGAGATAAAGGAAGAGGATTTTGAAAAATAAAAGTTTCTTATGCATTCCATTTGTACTGTGACAGATTGACCCATCTTGAAGATCACTGCTTCCTGGTCTACCTGTACATACCTGAGGATCCCTGCACTTTGCCACATAGGAACCTATTGCATTAAAACATTCAACACCGCCCATACCACTCAACATTCACACACCCATAGCCACATGACACACTAGCTACTGCCTCTACTGGAACAGCTGACACACAGACTAGATTAGTATTGCATAATCTTTCATATTTGTACTGGAATCACACAAAATTACAAACACCACTGATTTCATGAAACACACTGAATATTATTGAATACAAATAATACTGGAAACTCTCAGTATTTCAGAATTGTAACTGGTATGTACACAGAATAACTGTACAATCTGTCTCGACTGACATCAGGATCAGTGTGAGGGGACAGAGATTATTACAACCCAACCAATCCACATCAACAGACAAGCATACTACAAGCACTAGAACTAACATATCTTCATAGTTATCGAAACTATCCTAAAAATAAAGCACAGAAATTGTACATGAACAGTTGTATGATGAATAATGTGGACTACAAGAAGTGAGGAACGGATGGTCTGATGATGTCTTCCTTGGTGACTGGGCTGTTGCAGCTTGAGCAGCAAGACCTCCACATCATGGAGATGTTGCAACAAAGTGATGCACAGTGATCCACGTTCCTGTAGATGACTGACCTTGTTATGTTATCATTGGAAACTAATCACTGGTATGAGACAGAACTGATTATATGTGTATATTTAATATGCAGTACATATTATGTACAATGTTTTGGCTTAGAATGGAAGAAACAACTGTGCTGTTGTATCCATGGCCATCATAGAAGACCGGTATCTACAAGGAACTAGTCAACCAGTCAACCAATACTATGATATATTGATTGATTAACTACCTTGTGCAACCTGGGAAACAAGCATCACTTGTCCTGCACTATGCATTCAGGACTGACAGAGGTAAAGTAGTGGTTGATTATGTGAACATTAATCCTACTATTACAGTATGTCATGTACCCAGCCTGAACTCACCGATACTTTGTCTTCTGAGGTAGCTTCTTTACAAACTCTCCATCCAGTGTGACCATGCAATCCCCAATTAAACACACAAGGTGTATTGCACAGACTAAACATGGGAGACATTACACACTTAATAAAAGGCCAAAAACTAATTATGGTCCCATTGGCGTTCATTAACTCAAGAAGGACTGGTTCTGTTGTCGGATTCCTCTCGCATGTTTCAAAGACATCATCAATAAGAAGACGGTATAGATTACAAAACAGTATGATCATAATTTACATTATGTACTGATCATTATTCAACTACCCATTCCATAATATTTACTTACAGAAGTCTTAAAAAGGATTCCATTAATTGGCGAATAAACATGTTTACAGAAGAAAATGTATTAAAAGAAAAGTACAATTTTAAAAATTGTAATTTTAAAAAGTTTAATAGAAATGAAATGAAATAAATATTAAAGTACCTCTCTCTTTTTAGGCTTCGATACCATTAAAATTTATATTACTTTTAGGCTTAGATATCATTAAAATTTATATTGCCTAAATATATACACTTACAAAATTAGCGGAATGTCTTGAGCCTGAATGCATATACCATTTCCTGCAGCATTCTCAAAGCTGACCAGTTTTGAGTACCTGGACAATGAACAGCGTCTGGCATATCCAGGTACTGGCACTGTGGGTTTTTTTCCATGTGCCATGTGTAGTTTGAAATTTGAGTAAAACACTGCATGCGAGTGTGAATGGAAGGTACCATTATGCTGGCATGACACACATCACTGTCAGTTCTTGTCAGATCAGCAGATGAACATCCTACATCCAATCCATGTCAGAGAGGAGTTTGAAAAAATGCTGATTCCTCATGTTTTGAGCTGAACAGTGTCAAAATGCCTCACTGATGTGTCCGATATACATACAAAGCTAACTGCTCTGTTTTAATCCTGCTTATAGGTCACAAACGTTTCCTTAGGCATGTACAGAGAGCACTGCTTTAAGGTATTTCACGTTCAACAAAAATATTTGCACTTAAACAGAGAGTGCATAATTTTGGCTTTTCTAACTTGCTGCTTATCTTTCAGCCATGAGTGCAAGCACACCATGCTTAGTTGTGTTTACCGTTGCTTTTTTTCTAAATTGCTGCTAAGGTTCCCAACAGGCTAAACACAATTCACAACAGTGCCAACTGAGGCTTATCCAAGCTTACTCTTCCAATAATCATTTCAAGCACACAAAGATGAATGGTGCGTAATGGCGATTTCCGAGATAGGTAAAATTCTAAAAAATATTTCAAGTTGATAGAACTATCTACAGTTTATAAACCCCTTCATACAAACAACATCCAGATTACAGCTATGCTTAAACAACGTTCAGCATGCACAATACAAATCTATAACTGTACACCTCTCACACCAACATTATCAGCATGTCATGAACGTCAGACTGTTTGGCACAAAATGTAGTTCACTGTTTATAAAATCTAGTATGAAAAACATGCTTTCCAAATAAATATATCACAATAGACAGCAGTGTAGAGCATCATGTACATTGCGGAGGAAGACTGTCGGGTGGCGTCCTCACGATCTGTCTCGGTACACCCTGTAAAGTGACCAAACTCAGGCAAGTGTCCAAGGCAGCCAACTGAACCTACAGCTAATCGTCAAGGAGGATACATTTTCACAGTTCTGGACCATATAACAGTTTGTATTTGCAGAGTAAAACTGGAATTTCAACCATTGCCTGTCATCCAAATTTCTCTTGAGAGGCGAACAAGGGGATAAATGTTACTTTGACAGCTTTGTGTTACACCCAGACATATGAGCTTAATGTGGGACCTATCTGAAGCAACAAGGACCAGATACCACTGTACTGAACTCTGAAGAACAGGGAAATTGTTTGAATTTAAAACCATGGTCCTAAGATACGGAAAGGGTCAACGAAGGACATTGTTGTTGGTTTCAACAGTCTATCTGTTATACTTCAACATGTCAGCAAGCTGTTGGAGGACGCTGGGAGAGATGCCACATTTCATTTGTGTCTCAGGGAGTTAAGTCCACACATTGACGCATGGTGATTTTGACACTTTGCACATGTTAGGTTTCAATTGCATTTTCAAATGCTACAAACAATATGTTTCACATCATTTTTAAGAGACAGACTAGCCTGGGACAGTCGGACACAATCAATCTCAGATGAATGCTGAGTGTGCTTTCCCTAAACTGTTTAAACATTCAGATCATAGTCAGAGGAGTTCTAATTCTCCACTATGACTGTCTTTAAAAATACATAGTCATTACCAGAAAACCTTACTGACAGACAATACATAAGTTAAGGGTTATTAGTTTGGATCACTTTAGGGTTTGTACACTTCGCAATTGGTTGCAGACCAAGAGGCACATCCTTATTTGCAAATGTAAATGATTATAAAACAGACAAGAGTACAACATACAATTACTACAGCTGAGACATAACCCAAGTTTCTACATTATGCTTGTACACATGCCAAGGTAAATGACTGGGATGGCTGGGTTTATCAACACACATGCAATAACCATCACCATAACAATCGCCTTCACCTGGCACTGAGGTGACCTTGACATGACTATCTGATGTAGGGCTATGTTAGAGACGGAGGGAACTAACTGCACTCCCATGGAGTACTAAAATGACACTTCCTTGAGGGGAATAGGGATTCAAAGTAGAATTTATATTCAATTCTATTCATCTCAAAAGTAAAGTTCCTCCCCCGTCCAGCTAAACGGTGAAAATTTGAAAGAAATAACATTACCATGACAACAATGGTGCCATAACCTACAAGGAAGGTTTTATTGCTTTGAACTGTAAACCCTGTTAGCATTATTTGGGGGATAGAAAACTTCAAGACCAATGAGCACTCCCATCCACCAAACTTATGGATTTAAGGAATGGGCCGCACACACTGTAGGGGGAATTGAACGTAGGTCCTTCATTGTCACCAGTGAACACTTCAGCCTGTAGGCCCATCACCTACCATGTCACAGAGCTGAAGTAAACTTCATCTCTAACCACAGGCACTGGTAATAAAGTCTACATCCTTGTCATGGACCGTATATATATATATAACAGCAGATTATTTAAGGCTATCTTCTATTTCTACCCTACTGCATACATCACTGATATGTTGATGTTCGTTACTCTTGCAATGAATGTTGTGATCAATATTCAATTCAGCCCCGTTAATTAAAATTTGCTTCATAGGAAATCATTATTAAGTCTAGGTAATAAAATACCGATGTATGTTTATCTAATCATGACAGCTGTGATTAGTATTCAATTCAGCCCCCTGTTAATTAAAATTTGCCTAATTAGCAAAAACATGATTATACATGATGATAATGATGGTACAACTATCTCAACACAATCTAACATACTTTTTGTAACACAATCATTAAATTAAAACATCATGTAAATCAACAATAAATCACATTTGAATATACAAGTATATAAAATATATCTCAGGTCTCACCTCTGTACCGGACACAGTGTAATTATGGTCAAGTCCAGGGGCGTTTGGCTATATCTCTAATACTTTAGGTATTTGGTAAGGACAGTTTTCATTAATGGAGTGTGGCTACACTGCTACCAGAGTCTCCAACTACTAACTCTACAACACCTTGTGTATACTCTATATACTACTCCGAAATAGTTCAAGAGCACCCAATTTGTTTCACGTGCCATGAAAAATTAACTGTAGTCATAACAAAGAAATCTCATTTTCTTTAAATTCTTTTGAGTAGCACATTCCAAACTAAACACATCTTATAAGGCTGACATTAAGACACACATTAACAACACACTTCCTTCTGTATCGCAGGTTTCACAATCAGTGTATCTGTAAGTCGGCTGGTCTATAAATGTTGGAACTAAAACATTTCCTTCTGTATCGCAGGTTTCACAAACACTTTATCCGTAAGTCAGCTGGTCTATAAATGTTGGAACTAAAACATTTCCTTCTGTATCGCAGGTTTCACAATCAGTGTATCTGTAAGTCGGCTGGTCTATAAATGTTGGAACTAAAACATTTCCTTCTGTATCGCAGGTTTCACAAACACTTTATCCGTAAGTCGGCTGGTCTATAAATGTTGGAACTAAAACATTTCCTTCTAAATCGCACATTTCACAAACACTGTAAGTCAGCTGGTCTATAAATGTTGGAACTAAAATGGAATGAACAACTGTCAAGTAAAACTGTTTTTTTTCGGAGAAATGTTAAGGTTGTCATGTCAGAATAAACTGGTGCAATTGTACTCTGAAATAGTGATCGTAACATATCCTGCAAACAACACAAGTATTTATTGCCTCATGACTTGGCTGCATCATTCAGGCCTACTTTCTGTCACGATCGGACATGGACAAAGAGACACAACTGAACAAACATCCTGAGACTGTCTTCTGCTCGCATGACTACAAACACTCCTTAAAATACAAGACTAATTACAAAAGAAACATCAAAATCTAATTAAAAACTGACATAAATATTATATACGTTCCATCAAAAAGGTCATGATGTCATGGTAGCATTAAGTTAAGACATGATTACATTTATAATATATGTATATTTCTCATGTAACCATGGTAACTGGATCATATACATTATTTTGATTTCTAAATGTTTGGTATCACATATTGAGCAGTTACTTCACATTAACAACATAGTGTTCATTTGCATTGTACATGACATTGTGCCATTAAAAGTATCATGCTCTACATTACAGTATTCAACCAAATAAGTGGCCCCACCCCAATGCCATCCTCATTATGACATTGGACTAATAGATTGTGATACATCCTCATTGATTATGGTGATGATAGGCATGATTCTAGCCAACATAATTCCTGTCACACAATTCTTTCTCCAGCAAGCCAATGATCTCTCCAGCAAGCCAATGATCTCTCAATCAAGCCAATGCTTACCGGTACTTTATTCAGGTAACATACTAAGCCATCGTGTCAAAATCAGAATGAATGTGTGATACATCTTTCACATATGGTGTCATTGAGTATATTCTTATAACTGTAACACCCTCGGCACTTGCTAAGTTGAATACAGCATGTAGAAGTCTATCTTAAATAAACTTTCCTACAAAAAGATTTACAGCAAAAAATCCTATGAAATAAAATGGAGTACATGTATTAATATTAAAAAAAAGCTTCAAAACTGATAAAACTGGTGCTATGTAATATTTTGTTATGAAAGATTTCTATAAAAGATGATGTGCAAAGAAAGTAACAGATCTCATTCTGAACATTTCAGCATAAAGTTGTGGATTTCATTTTCGAGACAATAAAACAAGGTTGGTCTTCAACACAAATTAAAAGTAAGTAAAACCTCCATTACAACTAGTCAACATGACCAAACCAAAGCAAACCCAGAATATTGCATAGAGAGTTGGACACACAAAATACTAAATATTGCATGTGATGAAGTCCCCTCTGGAACTACCTCATCTGGTTTAAAGTAAAAGACCATTTTTGAGAGGTTGAGTCCGGATTACAGATGTTGGCAGTGAGACCTTTGGTCTGTACAACTTGACTGTCCAGACACAGATTGTGGCTCCTGTGTTTCAGCATTGTTTCCCCTTCAGTGCGATCCCATACCTGAAAAACATATGTATACCTCAGTTTGTGCTGCACCTTTATCTGTAGTGGGAAACACTCAAGCTAATAACCCAGGAAGTAACGTTAACCTCTTGACCCAGATGGTAACGTTAAGCTCTTGACCCAGATGGTAACGTTAAGCTCTTGACCCAGATAGTAACATTAAGCTTTTGACCCAGATAGTAACGTTAAGCTCTTGACCCAGATGGTAACGTTAAGCTCTTGACCCAGATGGTAACGTTAAGCTCTTGACCCAGATAGTAACATTAAGCTTTTGACCCAGATAGTAACGTTAAGCTCTTGACCCAGATGGTAATGTTAAGCTCTTGACCCAGATGGTAACGTTAAGCTCTTGACCCAGATAGTAATGTTCAGCTCTTGACCCAGATAGTAACATTAAGCTCTTGACCCAGATAGTAACGTTAAGCTCTTGACCCAGATGGTAACGTTAAGCTCTTGACCCAGATAGTAACATTAAGCTCTTGACCCAGATAGAAACGTTAAGCTCTTGATCCAGATAGTAACGTTAAGCTCTTGACCCAGATGGTAACGTTAAGCTCTTGACCCAGATAGTAATGTTAAGCTCTTGACCAAGATAGTAACATTAAGCTCTTGACCCAGGTAGTAACATTAAGCTCTTGACCCAGATAGTAACATTAAGCTCTTGACCCAGGTAGTAACATTAAGCTCTTGACCCAGATAGTAACATTAAGCTCTTGACCCAGATGGTAATGTTAAGCTCTTGACCCAGATGGTAACGTTAAGCTCTTGACCCAGATAGTAACACTAATCTCTTGACCCAGATGGTAACGTTAAGCTCTTGACCCAGATAGTAACATTAAGCTCTTGACCCAGATAGTAACGTTAAGCTCTTGACCCAGATAGTAATGTTAAGCTCTTGACCAAGATAGTAATGTTAAGCTCTTGACCAAGATAGTAACATTAAGCTCTTGACCCAGATAGTAATGTTAAGCTCTTGACCAAGATAGTAACATTAAGCTCTTGACCCAGATGGTAACGTTAAGCTCTTGACCCAGATCGTAATGTTAAGCTCTTGACCAAGATAGTAATGTTAAGCTCTTGACCCAGATAGTAACATTAAGCTCTTGACCCAGATAGTAACGTTAAGCTCTTGACCAAGATAGTAATGTTAAGCTTTTGACCCAGATAGTAACGTTAAGCTCTTGACCCAGATAGTAATGTTAAGCTCTTGACCAAGATAGTAACATTAAGCTCTTGACCCAGGTAGTAACATTAAGCTCTTGACCCAGATAGTAACGTTAAGCTCTTGACCCAGATGGTAACGTTAAGCTCTTGACCCAGATAGTAACATTAAGCTCTTGACCCAGATAGTAACGTTAAGCTCTTGACCCAGATAGTAACGTTAAGCTCTTGACCCAGATAGTAACGTTAAGCTCTTGACCAAGATAGTAACATTAAGCTCTTGACCCAGGTAGTAACATTAAGCTCTTGACCCAGATAGTAACATTAAGCTCTTGACCCAGATAGTAACGTTAAGCTCTTGACCCAGATAGTAACATTAAGCTCTTGACCCAGATAGTAACATTAAGCTCTTGACCCAGATAGTAACATTAAGCTCTTGACCCAGATAGTAACGTTAAGCTCTTGACCCAGATGGTAACGTTAAGCTCTTGACCCAGATAGTAACATTAAGCTCTTGACCCAGGTAGTAACATTAAGCTCTTGACCCAGATAGTAACATTAAGCTCTTGACCCAGATAGTAACGTTAAGCTCTTGACCCAGATAGTAACATTAAGCTCTTGACCCAGATAGTAACATTAAGCTCTTGACCCAGATAGTAACATTAAGCTCTTGACCCAGATAGTAACATTAAGCTCTTGACCCAGATGGTAACGTTAAGCTCTTGACCCAGATAGTAACATTAAGCTCTTGACCCAGATAGTAACGTTAAGCTCTTGACCCAGTTAGTAACATTAAGCTCTTGACCCAGATAGTAACGTTAAGCTCTTGACCCAGATAGTAATGTTAAGCTCTTGACCAAGATAGTAACATTAAGCTCTTGACCAAGATAGTAACGATAAGCTGTTGACCCAGATAGTAACATTAAGCTCTTGACCCAGATAGTAACATTCAAGCAATATCCAAGTAATAGTAGGGATTATCACAGTTGCCAGTAAGTAACCCCAAATAGTAAGATACAAGTAATGGCTACCAAAACCATTTCAGTTGTCCTATAACCCTAGCTCAACTGTTTTAGGTAAGCATTTTTGAAACAAAACTAATGACATTACCCAGACTTATTTACGTAATTAATGACACCATGATAATTTGGTTGTATCTCGGACCTGTTCCTCTATAACATTTTGACATTTTGGCAAATCAATTAAATAATCTGGCATGTCCTTGGGTGTATGGTTACCAAACTACAACAGACAGGTAAATTACTAATGAAAAAGGGAGACAACTCATAGCTTTAGGGGAGGTGGGCATACACTAAGTAAAGTTGTCATGGTTTGTAGTGCTACCAAAATACAAGTACACCCAATTTTATCCACATAATTGGATGTAAGTATACCAGACTCAAGGTCGGTGGGGAAGTTAAAGCATTCGTTCATCATGCCGAAGACAGGGGTTCAATTCCCCTAATGGGTACAATTTGTGAGGCCCATTTCTGGAGTCCCCCAATGTGATATTGCTGAAATATTGCTAAAGGTGGTGTAAGGAATAACTCACCTGCTCACTTGGCTGAGGGTGCAGTTAATATGTGAAAGTGTGGGATAACTTGTATATCTGCACCGACAAGTAAGTCTGAATTAACCTTGTTCTTGTATGAATGCATCCAAAAGGCTGTGCTATTTACCTGTAGAATGTTGTCAGACTGGCACTGGTAGAGTTTGACAACACTCTCAGGGGCGTCGCCTGTCAGGGTTATACACAGGTCCAGGTGTTTGATGCTACCATCCTTCGTCAGTGAGAATTCCTGGAACAACACGGTAGCTTCATGAACTTACACTGGATGAATAATCTGATTGAAGCAAACACAACTAATAATATTTGTTTGTGATTGATTATATACAGTGAATATGTTCCATAGCATGTTAGTTTGAACCATGCCATACATCTTCAGTACATAAACTGTGGACAGATTCATGTCAGTTATGCTTTAACCCATTGTGTACAGTATTGTAGTATGGTTGTAACCATATTAGACAAACTAATATGCAGCCATTGTGGCTAGCTACTGGTAGTTTCTGTATTTGTGACCTTGGTGAACGTCATATGGCAGGGTAGACCTATTTTGCTGGTGTGTGTGTAAGTATACACACTATTTACAGCTGCCTTCACCAGCATTACTGCCACATCACATCCTGGCACAGAAGCCAGTGGTTGACGGCAGGAGCAACAACCAACAGCTTTGTGTATTATAGCTAATGCTTATTAACACATACTACTAGATCCCTTGGCACATAAGCTACATCATCCTTCACACCAGTTCCATAATGTTTAGTTGCACACATACAGCCATGTTTTCCAGAATGAAGCAATAGGCTACCCGTGAAGATCTGGGTTAGAATTGATCTTCAGCAACCCTTGTTCTTAGAGGCGACTAATGGAACTAGGTGGTCAGACTTGCTGACCTGATTGAGCTATTTTATTCTAATCATTGTATAGATCGATGCTCATTAAATTAATCACTGTATTGTCTGGTCCTGACTTGATTATTTACAGATAGCTACAATACTGCTGAGTGTGGCATTTAACAATAAACAAATGAAGACATAAGCACATTCTGGTAATTATTGTGCTTTGGTCATTGAAACCAAGAGAGATGAGTTCCATGCTACACTTACAATAACTCAGCAATGTCGCAATAGGTGCAAGTATTAAACATGTATGCATGAGGGTGAAAGTATATAGCGGCAGTCAGCAGAATACGACCAACATTGAGGTGGTGGTAAGTTTTCTTATGGTGAATGCATGTGTGAGCACTGTTATGTCACCATCACTAATGTCAATTCTATATCACACCAACCAGTAAAACGACGGAGCGTGGCGGGACAAGCACACCAGTGGCAGACAGGCAGAATAGTCATCTGACATACTGTATCCACTGAAAGCTTCATGTTTGTTTGTTTGTTTGTTTGTTGGCTAATGCAGCAGTCAGCAGTATTCCAGCAATATTATGGCTGCCTGTCATTAAACAAGTCTAGACCAAACAATCCAGTGATTGACATTGAGAGCACAGATTCAAGCATTTGGTGTACAATGATACACAATCGATCCATTTGGTCGCATATTACGACCAGCAAGGGTTGCTGAGGATCTATCCAGCGTGGGAATCCCGGAGAGGGGGACCGGGGATGTGAATGCATGAGACCTGTTTATAGACTGACCATCACAGGTGAGGTTCGGAATGAGGGTATGACTGAGAGGCAGGTTATGACGACACTGATGTGGATGAACGTGATGATGTATGGCTGATGGAGAGCAATGAAAGCAAGACTATGGCACTGGTTCACACAGAGCTAGTCTATGAGCAACCCTATCTGCAAGCAGCGTCACATGACACATATACGCAAAGTTTCTACACATGGTTTAACATTGTATACAGCGAGCTGCCAATAAGCATCTGTAGATAGTACTACAATTCACCTGGCAATGACAATTCTTCCAAATTCAATTATTCCCTAATATCAATAATGTGAGCCATTTTGGAAATTGGACCATGGTATTTCTACAATGAAATGAAAATCCAGAAATGATAAAATCTATTATTGGAAACAACACTGTGCATACACAAGGTTCTTCATTTCTAACATATTCAAAACCACATTCTGTCCTTGTTTGTCTGCCAGAAACAAAGCATTAATTCAATGTGACTGGCCAAGTTACAGAAACATTACAAGTAATCAAAGCTATCTGCAAGCTAGAACTACTGTACCTCCCATATCGTATCCTTACTCCTATACTTCAACACAGATTTACAAAACATCTAAAGATTTAATAACACTCTGTACATTGGACCAGGAACCAAGTGCCAAGTCAAATGGCAGCAAGTTTTGGATATTTCGCTCAAAACACAGTTTTCTTCTGTTAAAACATATTTACTGTTTGCCAATTTTCCATATTAAATCATAATTCTGCATTTTATTCTACCAAGCTATAATCTCTTGACTGTCTTCGACAGCATCATCTACTGAAAATACTGTATCAATACCACCAAGCAGAATATATGCAGCCAATCAGCTTGCAAGGAGAGCCATCTAAGCCAGCCAAGAGGACGGTCTGCAAGAAGAGTCTACCTGGTTTCCGCCAGCATTGTGACAGGGGTATATGCCGAGTGTCCCATCAGCAAAGTGTCCCATGGTATCTATGCACTGGCCGGACTGTTGCATACTGCCGAAAGCTACATCCTGGGTGTCTGGCACTCTGTGAAAGGAGGCATGCGATGCTGTCAAACCTCACAATACCACAGAGGATATCATCCAGTTTGGACACACATGGACTTCTCCCTACCATATACTGCATTCAGGGAACAATTTTCTCTTGTACGGTGGTATTTGGGATTTGATCTGAATGACTCAAACCCTACAGTTCACTGCCTAACAGAACCATGTTCACAGCTGAATTTATTATCTCCTGATACAATTCTTCAAGGTCCATAATCCAAACTATCCAAAAAAGAAATCTTCGTGGACAAAATGTACATGTCAGTTGTAACATAAAAGTTCCAATTTTGACGGAAAAAGTTGGTAATTTATATTTTTTCACTCATCATTCCTGAAAACCTATGATATCACATAGAAGTATAGAAATATTCCAAATGCAATATTTTTGATGAAACTATATAAAAACCAAGGAAGAACAGTAGCAGAGGATCACCAAAGCCCAAAGTATGTTAACTGATGGTAAATACTCCATTATAAATATCTCATAAAGCACATGTGCACCCAAACTAAAAAACAAACAAAGGTGTGTCTAATATAAGCTGACTTGTATTGAACACATGCAGGAAACTTCTTACTAATGTACAATAAAACAAAAGGTGCTGTATACATAGACTTGCAGGGTGGAGGTAACCTGGGAATACGACCATGAAGACAGGGTTCCCACAACTAGAAGAGTTCTCATTTCAGTAGTACATGTATAGAGGAAGAAAAGGTAAACTCCCCCAGCCTCCCGCACCCACCTGTCCCACTAACTCGCATATATCACAGTCAATAGCAACTATCTAGGGATTTTAAAATTGCACCCATGCCATCCCTATATTTGTCTCCATTCACTGTGAGTAAGTGAGCTACGTTTTAATGGGATAATACCACTGTTTCATTTTGTTTAATAAATCTAGTCTAGGGGAGATAATTCAATCTGTAGGTTTTATTCCACCCTATATCAAGGTAAGACAAGCCCTTCTATTCTGTGTATGCTACAAGGAACATGGGTGTATTTATACCTGAATGTAACACAATGTTATAACAGCTATTTTTGTAGTTGGGGAGGATATTAAATGTGCTTAGTTTAAAATGGCATTTTATTATTATTTCAGTTACATCACAGCTTGTCATCTGAAGTTGATGGAAGCCCTAAGTAATGTTGGTATAGACAAGAGCTGCAAGTTAAAGCCAGTGATGGAAGGAATGAGATCAGTAACCAGCCCAGTTTTGTTACAAGCAGTGAGTTAACGATGGGGAGGCTCTGCCTCCTCGTTTGTGGGGACCCAACGTTGCCACGGTTACCAAAGACGATGACTGCAATTGATGCTGGAACATCATGTGTGCCATACAACTAATTCCAAACACAGCCAGCACAACAACCATGATGAATACTCCGATGATGGGGAATGATGTGAGGGGATGTCTGGTATAGTACTTACTTCAGTTCTGGGTAGACATTCTCCAGGAACCATTTGAATGGCTTACATTGCAACTGTTCCTTCAGCGTCAAACGTTTTGAAATACTGAAACAACAAAATCATATTTAGATAAAAGATACTTATGGTATCTAAAATTCTTTTTGCTGAAAGAGAGCAACTCTAAGTGAGGAATTGAACATCTTTGATTATCCGGGGTAATTTTCAGAATCCCAAACTGGCTTGATTGTAGACTGCCTTGGTGCCCTACAGTGATGTCAGCAGTTACCTGACAGACAAATGATATTTGTGACACAAGCTGGTTAGCTGTATTGAGACACCTGTTATAGCTGTATTGAGACACCCGTTATAGCTGTATTGAGACACCCGTTATAGCTGTATTGAGACACCTGTCATAGCTGTATTGAGACACCTGTCATAGCTGTATTGAGACACCTGTTATAGCTGTATTGAGACACCTGTTATAGCTGTATTGAGACACCTGTTATAGCTGTATTGAGACACATGTTATAGCTGTATTGAGACACATGTTATAGCTGTATTGAGACACCTGTTATAGCTGTATTGAGACACCTGTCATAGCTGTATTGAGACTACTGTTATAGCTGTATTGAGACACCTGTTATAGCTGTATTGAGACACCTGTTATAACTGTTTACAAACAAAAATCTTTGAAAAGTGATTTTTGATGAACAATAGAATCTTATCATTATGTCTTTCTAAACCAAATCAACACTTATTTCAAACTCATCAGCAAGACTTTGAGATCTTCCTCAAACATCTATTTGGACCGAGAATTTGAACAATCACTTACTCTCCAAAAGGAATATTTTTTGCTGAGGGCACTGCTGCATAGTAGAACTGTTTATAGTCATCCATCCACACTTCAGCAGCTCGGCGTGTGTTCCTGGGGACAGAGTCAGGGACAAATAGAAGGTCATCATCATCATCATCATCATCATCATCATCATCATCATCATCATCATCATCATCATCATCATCATCATCATCATCATCATCATCATCATCTATGGAACAATCATAATGTCAATCTTTCAAAGTCATGTCTCATTTGTGTTTTTCCATATGGTTAAGCAACAACCAAGAAGACAGATTAAATATGGCTGAACTAGTTCTGCATTGTGCAGGATATTCCTGGTATATATTAATGTGAGATCTGTCAAAGCAGAAATACCTGAAATAGCTCTCATTGTTAATTTAATATAGCATAGCATAGTCAGTGTTGGCCATATTGACTTTGATCAAATATCATGTTAAGAAATCCAACAATACACACAGTAAAAGCATGTAAACATGACTGACAGTGGGGAAGAAAGTATAAGATAAGATTGTGCACATCAGGGTGTGCACATTAAATCTCTATACCATCATCATCATCATCATCATCATCATCATCATCATTATCATCACATCACACTTTAATGCTAAGAAATCACACACCCACACACACATAGTTAAATAATAACCAATACAACAGAAGAAATATGGCTGCCCTAGTTTATGAACATACTGCATTGTGCAAGATATTCCTGGCCATACCATTGAAAGAACTGGCAAAGCAGAAATACCAGAAATAGTTTTCTTTCTTACGTTAAAATAGCATGGCATAGCATGGCATAGCATGGCATAGCACAGTACATTCACTGGTATATGCAGTTTGAGCTCAGGACACCTACCTAGCAAATACATTTCCACTCCCCCCTGGGAAGGTGTAAGGATGTTGTTTTCTGAACACATGGCCAACTCGACTACATGGAATGATTTCTAGAGCACCATGGCACTGCCACACGCGGAATGAGATTTCTGAAATGGAAGCACACTGTCATGACATACATCTATAATTTGGCTCAATAACATGATCAGTGATGGAAATTCATAAATCCTTGTTATAACATCTTCTGTAAATTATTTGAATTTTTCTAATGTTTCAGACATGGTTGTGTTACTAAATGATCCTCAGTACCTGATTTGAAAAAGAGGGAGAGAACTTTGATTATCTCCCTTCGGACATCAAATGTTGAGAAGCATCATCTAGTCAACAGAATGGTTCAACATTTATCATTCTTCAATATTCTTAGCTAATGGCATTTTCATCTTCTTGTTGCCAACAATTGCAAATCAATGCATTAATGCATTTAGGGCATAATTCCTGTGACTCAAGAACTCTCCAACTGTCAGTCAAGTTCTGAATCCAACAAAACAGGTCTCCAAAGACGTACCAAGGTTCTCCCCACCCCATACATCCATGTCCAAGTCATATTTTCCCAGTTCCTCAAACCATGACTTGTCAATGGCAAACAGTCCCCCAGCAATCAGAGGAGTCCTGCAATAAAACACACAAAATATGACATCTTACCTACATTTCAGAATTATCAAAATGTCATAAAGAGGAAATACTACAACAGCCTGTGCCCAGTCAAGTCTGGTCCAGACAAACCAGCCCCTCTATGCATGACTGTGATCCACTCCATTTTGGTATAATGGTTTTCAAGTACCATACCTAAGCTTGTGTTTCATCAAGGTAAACGTCAGATTCATCCACTACTTTTACACTACACATCTCTCGTGATGACAACTGGATAATGCCATAGGAGCTATAGAACAAAACTCAGCCAACAACTACCTACACATACAAACTTTTCGTATTGCAATATATTGTGATATGTGTTGGCGTATTGCAATATGGATTGCAATATATTGTGAAAGTGTAACACATGGGTTGAGGTAATGAAATTACTGTTTCCTTTCTTTTGAAACAATGTCACTGGCCACTGTCAGGACTCAGATGTGATTGTACAAGACATGAATTGAATATGTTTCCAAACTGAAGACATCGCTCTAAAGTTTATAAGAAGCATCTGCAGCGCTTTTTGGTTTGTTCGGTACCGGCACTTGATGTAATTTTTTTATTCCTATGGTTGAATAGTCACACAAATGCAATTATATGACCAGTAAACATTCCCAAAACTATTAATGTATAATAATATAAAGGATATACAAATGTTATTAATATTTTTGACTACATCATGAAAATTACCGATCATGCTCACGGAAAATGCTGATCGTATCGAGTGAACCGGTTTGCGAAAAGTGTACTGCAACATATCGTATTGTTAAGTTTGAATTGCAATATATCAGTCAACCGGTATTATCGCCCACCCCTCGCCAATACCCACTTTAGCCTCCAGCTACAGAATTGAGGTATTTTAGACCTGTTCTTTCCCTGGGGCTGTTATAGTGTTGGAGAGGAGGACTGAAGGGTGTGTCAGTCTACTCCTCATGTTACCTGATGGCCGAGATAGGATTTTCCGTCCTCTTATTGCGTTCCTCTGCAGTCATATAATCCCACTTGAACACTAGGTTCCAGTCAAAGCCACCCTTCAGATCCGCCGAGGCTCCGATGTAGTCGAAGTTGTCCATGCTGATGACATCAATGATGGGGCTCACAACACGGGTACGCTCCTGAGGATGAAGTTTGGTTGTTACACTCACATAATCGTCAATACCCATGAGGTATGTGTTTCTAATCCATTTGGAATGAAATGGCCAACATAAATTTCCTGAAGTCTGGTATGCACATCAGGGACATATCTAGAATTCGTGTCTCGATGCAGGTCAGGATAAAATCAAAATGTAACATCTCAGAGCTCTTAATGTTACCATGGTTACAAAACTAGCATGCTGGTAACAAATTGTTAAATTCCATATAATGTACAGAAGTAAATAGGAAATAATTTAACCATTTGGAACCACAAACTCAGAATTTCGGGTTATGTTTTTCAAGATTGGCGTCTGGCAAAGCAGAAATAATTCCCTGACAGGATTGTTATCTCTTTAAGGGATACACACATCGAGTGAGGCATACCTGTACTGTATTATACCTGCAATAGAGACAGTTGACCTTACCTCTGCCACACGGAGCAGGAGGGGTTCCAGCCAGTAGGTGTTACACTCGCAATGACTATCCAAGAATGTCAAGATGGCACCTTTGGCTGCATCAGCACCCCGCACTCTGGACCGAATCAAACCTGAAACACCAGTAGGAAGTGAATAGTATAGGGAATCTGCTAATACCAATAAATGCAGGCAATGTATGTGAGTGAGTGAGTGAGTGAGTGAGTGGTGGAGGAGGAGGAGTGAGTGAGTGAGTGAGGAGGAGTGAGTGGAGGGGTGGGTGGGTGGGTGGGTGGGTGGGTGGGTGGAGTGAGGTGAGTGAGTGAGTGAGTGAGGAGTGAGTGAGTGAGTGAGTGAGAGCTGTCATCATCTCCATTAAGTTAAAAAATTGGTGCCATAAATGTTTCAAGAAGCATGAGAGATTTAATAAAAATGTCCAGCAATGTTTACTTTAGAAGGCCAGACAACCATATGTTCATCATTCCATTCACTGCAGTCCTAAGAAGTGCACGTCAGAAAAGGCAATGTGATAGTGATAATGATCTTCAGATGTAATAAATCAAGGTATGAGAAAATGTTACAATCATAAATATGCTTGAATTGTACCCTCTCGTTTCTTGTTATGAATGACCTTGACCTTCTGTATGACTGCCAGTTCATCACCATCAGAAGCTGCAGAAGAAATGGGGAACAATTACACATTGTACCTGTGCTGATCACGAATATCTACCCTACCCTATCCCTGTGACCATCCAATTAACACATTAATCTCACAACAGGCTGGTGTTGGGAGCCATTTTCACAATTTAGAGCAATCAGAGACTTCAATCAGTCTTAATTCAGTCTCTTGCCATGGCATCAGGTTAACAGAAATGTAAATATGCTGCATCTTAGCTTCCATATTTATGTGCTTCTTGCATAACCTTTTCTCGATCTCATCAAAATCAGAAACATTAATTGATCCAGTTTAGCAGATTTATTGCTTAATGAAACATCACTTTGTAGCATAACATCAAAATTCATGCACAATTGACATTTTCTTCACCCGAATGATCTTATTACTGTCATTCACAAACATACTTACGATCATCGCTGAAGTCATCAACCAGAATGATTTCTTCTATCAAGTGTGCAGGGCTCTTTCGGAAAACACTGAAAACATGAATAAGCTTCCATCATCCGATTCAGACGTTCAGTCTCACTTACATGTAGAGTGGTCTAATTATTGCATCGCATATCAATCACCATAGTAACCATGTTTCATGTGAATATCAGCGGCAGCTGGGGGCATCTGTCTACCCAGTAACATGCTCACACGCCATCTGGGTTGTACAGTCAGGGCACAAACACCAGAGCAGTGAGTGAGTGAGTTGGATTACCACCATGCACTTTCAGCTTTGTTACATCTCAGTCAGGTAGCTAAATGAAAACCACATCCTGGCTTACTGTATTGCCTTGGCTACTGCAGATCAAGTTTACTGTATTGACTTGGCTACTGTAGATCAAGCTTACTGTATTGCCTTGGCTACTGCAGATCAAGTTTACTGTATTGCCTTGGCTACTGCAGATCAAGTTTACTGTATTGCCTTGGCTACTGCAGATCAAGTTTACTGTATTGATGTGGCTACTGCAGATCAAGTTTACTGTATTGATGTGGCTACTGCAGATCAAGTTTAGTGTATTGCCTTGGCTACTGCAGATCAAGTTTTGTGTATTGCCTTGGCTACTGCAGATCAAGTTTACTGTATTGCCTTGGCTACTGCAGATCAAGTTTACTGTATTGCCTTGGCTACTGCAGATCAAGTTTACTGTATTGCCTCAGCTACTGTAGATCAAGTTTACTGTATTGCCTTGGCTACTGCAGATCAAGTTTACTGTATTGACTTGGCTACTGTAGATCAAGCTTACTGTATTGCCTTGGCTACTGCAGATCAAGTTTACTGTATTGCCTTGGCTACTGCAGATCAAGTTTACTGTATTGCCTTGGCTACTGCAGATCAAGTTTACTGTATTGATGTGGCTACTGCAGATCAAGTTTACTGTATTGATGTGGCTACTGCAGATCAAGTTTAGTGTATTGCCTTGGCTACTGCAGATCAAGTTTTGTGTATTGCCTTGGCTACTGCAGATCAAGTTTACTGTATTGCCTTGGCTACTGCAGATCAAGTTTACTGTATTGCCTTGGCTACTGCAGATCAAGTTTACTGTATTGCCTCAGCTACTGTAGATCAAGTTTACTGTATTGCCTTGGCTACTGCAGATCAAGTTTACTGTATTGCCTCAGCTACTGTAGATCAAGTTTACTGTATTGATGTGGCTACTGTAGATCAAGTTTACTGTATTGCCTCAGCTACTGTAGATCAAGTTTACTGTATTGACTTGGCTACTGCAGATCAAGTTTACTGTATTGCCTTGGCTACTGTAGATCAAGTTTGCTGTATTGCCTTGGCTACTGAAGATCAAGTTTACTGTATTGCCTTGGCTACTGTAGATCAAGTTTACTGTATTGCCTTGGCTACTGTAGATCAAGTTTGCTGTATTGCTTCAGCTGCTGCAGATCAAGCTTACTGTATTGCCTTGGCTACTGTAGATCAAGTTTACTGTATTGCCTTGGCTACTGCAGATCAAGTTTGCTGTATTGCCTTTGCTACTGTAGATCAAGTTTGCTGTAATGCCTTGGCTACTGCAGATCAAGTTTACTGTATTGCCTTGGCTACTGCAGATCAAGTTTACTGTATTGCCTTGGCTACTGCAGATCAAGTTTACTGTATTGCCTTGGCTACTGCAGATCAAGTTTACTGTATTGCCTTGTCTACTATTGATCAAATTTCACAATTTTAATACAAACAAAACCTTTCATAGTCATCATTTAAGCACAGATAACTTAAATTAGGTATTGAATCTCTATTATGTAATTCATGGAAAATAGTTTTTATTTAGTAAAATGGTTATTAATTATCGCAAAATCCCCTCAGAAAAACAGTTTATATACATTCACATCATTTTACACGTACAAGAACCTTAGCAAACAAAGACAGTGCAAAGTGTACAACCAGCTACCTGACAATTGTGCGGAGAAGAGCCGATCGAGCCTCATTATGGAAAGTGATGATGACGGATGTTGATGGTAAATTCTGCCTCCATTGCTGCTGTCGACACCTGGAACAAAGTGTAATGCTCTCATCATCTTCCCATCAAAACAGTGTTGCTGTAATGATTATTGCCTAAACCAGACCTGTAGGAGTCAAATCATTTCTTCACACAATCAACCAAAATTTGGTACATGTACATAAACTATTCCCATGTGTACTTGAAGCAAATAGCAAAATGTTGCAAATACTTTGAGTAAGCAGAGCTTCAAGCCACTGTTAGCCATGCTTTTGCTTGGCAGACATACAGCATATCAAATATAAAATGAAATGATTCTACAGGAGAGATTCGCAGGAGATTTGCGTGAATGAGAACAGCTGATATCTCCTAGGACATATCATACTGAGACAATAAACTGCTCTGTAATGAGAAGTAATCTTAATATATATAAAGATACTTCGGTCAGAGGACATTTGGGTGACATTCTCCATATACCAAAAGATCGTGGGTGAGATTATGTGTCAGAAGACATTTGGGTGAGATTCTCAATATACCAAAAGATCATGGGTGAGATTACGTGTAACCACTAGGCTCGGAGGACATTTGATTGACATTCTCTATGTATCAAAAGATAGTGGGTGAGATTCTATGTCAGAGGACAAATTTGTGAGATTCTATGTCAGAGGACATTTGGGTGAGATTATACATGTATGTCAGAGGACATTTGGGTGAGATTAATATGTCAGAAGACATTTTGGTGAGACTGATACATCAGAGGACATTTGGGTGACATTCTCTAAGTATCAAAAGATCGTGGGTGAGACTATGTGTCAGAAGACATTAGGGTGAGATTCTCAATATACCAGAAGATTGTGGGTGAGATTATATGTCAGAGGACATTTGGTTAAGATTTTATGTCAGAGGACATTTGAGTGACATTCTCTATGTATCAAAAAATAGTGGGTGAGATTCTATGTCAGAGGACAAATTTGTGAGATTCTATGTCAGAGGACATTTGGGTGAGATTATACATGTGTGTCAGAGGAAATTTAGATGACATTATACATGTATGTCAGAGGACATTGGTTGACAATCTCTCTGTATCAAAAGATTGTAGGGTGAGATTCTCTATGCATCTACGAATACACTATGGACATTTATTTACTTGGTTCTTCAAACAAATCAATGTACATAGGGGCTTGATTGATGTATGTGATGGACCAATGTGCCTGCAGTTATGTATTATGGGCCTTTGGGATAGAATTACAGAAATAAAACCTATCTGTCTGTCTGTCTGATTTAAGCATTTAGAACTTGCACCTGAAACTGCAAAATGCAACCTCATATCACAACCAACTTACACCCAATACATGTTAACATTTTACACTTCAAATATAACACAGACTAAGCTGGAAAACAGAATGATGTGGAACTGCCAGGGAGCAGTGACTGATGACTACACAGACAGTGGTTGAATGATTGTAACCGTTCTTGTCAAGATGTTTTATGGAGCAAGATAAAATGATCTTATCAGACCCACAATGGTTTTGCTATGGTGTTCTCAATCATCATTACCAAAACTCAGACATTGTATCCATTTTTATGTCAAGCACCAGGTGCAACCTGTTTTTGTCTAATAGAACAAGATTATTACCCTACGGCTGCACTGGGTGCAGCTAGGTTCCACTTCACTCACATCGAGCCGTGTACATGATGTATTGTGGATCAGATCGAATGGAAACTCTAATGAGCATTTCATAATTTTATTCAGTCTCTTGCAGACCCTCAAACAAAGTTATCCAAACCATCAGTTTCTGAAATCGAGGAATCTAACGGCTTCTACTATATCTTATAAGATAATTATCAACTGTAAGATATTTTCATTTCAGAGACTATATGTTAGTTTATAGTTTATTCATCAATTGATACTATCATTATTTCCGCATGGAGCCGTGCCAAGCATCCGTATCACAAACTGTCACTGATGTATTGATATCGGTTGTGATCAACTGTCATACAGTGACAGCTGGATCGATCCTTACACCCTACTTCCAGTACATGCAACAGCAGACCCAACACACTCAACTACACATGAAATCAAACTACTGTTTCCCCAATCTGTTGCACAACTGTACAATCAAAATGGACTGACCAATCAAAGATGGACGGGAGGGGATTTCTTTTTAAAGAAACGATTTGTTCCCCAAAATGCGGGCATAAATCTTTTGTCCTAAGTATTTACATAAAAAATCCATTAACTTGACATTTGGATGTTCTGAAGATGTATTGTGTGGCCAAAGAAATTGTTTGGCTCCTCATTTCAAAGAAAAAAACACAGAAAATCAACATATATTGATTATTGTTCTCTTTTTCTCAAACAAGTTTTTTTCAATAACTGAACTCTATCAGACTGAATACTTACAGTTAAGTCAGAAGAAACAAAATCTGATTGGAACTTTGCCAACTTTGTATTAATATACTCATGGAAACGAATACGACAAAACATGAAAGTACAAGTGTTCCTTTATTTATTTCCAGATTTTCTCCTACAGTGTATAAAGCACGACAAGAATCCTGGTAAAGTGTATAGGAACAGTTTCTGTGTTCCCTTATTCGTTTCCATAAGTATATTATCAGTACAATGAGAACAAATACAAGATGGTCACAGATACAGTGTTTTCTGACAGTAATATCATGTTACCATGGCGACTTGGAATGAATACAATCAGTTAACCTGTACAATCAGTTAACCTGTACATCAGATTAACATGAAGATATTCAACAAAACCCTTCTAATGGGGACTTTCAAACTTTTTAAACTTTGGGTGATAAAATAAGAGAGAAATGAGTATGATCAATGATAAAGTACTCTGTAGTCTTGGCTTAAACAAAGATAATCAATCATGTGATTTTTAAAGTGATTCAGAACTTGTTCACTGGGATTTGGTGAAAATCCCAAGATTCATCATTTCTGTAAAAAAGCAACTATGGAACAACCATTGATCCATCATGCATGGGGACAGATGAATTATACATCTAGTGTATTCTTTACCAATAGCCTTCTGCTCACTCACACACGTCTGCTTTGTCCAGTATCTAACCTCTGATGCATCACAGGATATAATAAACAGTATCAACCGCAAATATGAATAATAACGAACAATATGAATTGGTTAGTACAGTAATTAGTCTATTGTGAAGTCGGTGATAGGCATGCAGAAGTTTAAAGAACATGAGTATGGGACTGTTTTATAATAACTTCTTTAACCCTGGTAACATTTTTGGGCTAGTTCTTGCCTCCTTCTGCCCATTCATCTTACTGAAAACCTGATGAAACCTTCTAATCACAGATGAAACTGAGTGTCTGGTACAATAATTTCAAACCACAAATCAAAGTCCTCATTTCAAATGGGCCAGTTAATTAAAGCAACAGGTAAGCCTGTGGTTAAAGCGATCGCCTGTCACATTAATGCTTGAGTTTGAATTTCCAATTCACAACAGTGTTCAAAGAAAATTCTCAGCTGTGGTATTGTTTGATCATGTCCCCCTCAGTTCCACCTCATTAAAGTCAGATATTTTGCACCGATACTAAACCTGTCTGTTCAAATATCAGAGGACACATCCAAAACTGGTCACTCAATACTGAAAAATTACTGAAGATCTAACAGCCCCAATGCTTATTGGCTGATTAGAAAGTTCATTGACATGACCTCTATAAAAGTGTCCTCGTATTTCCTTTACAGAAAGGTACTGCACTGAAGTAAAAGATTAGATTTGAATGAGATAGATCTCCAGTTCTGGCGTACTCACAGTTGATGGCGTGTATCTGGGACGTCACGGTTAGATTTGGTGTTGTCACTGGCAAGCTGGTTGAACTTATTCCTGGCATAGTTGTCTTCCCCTGGCCGAACCCGCTTCTTATCTACATACGACTTTTCATCATACTCTTCCCAGGGAACATCGTTTGGACCATCCTCAAGAAAATCTTTCACTTTATTATGATCTAAAGGTTTAGGCACTTTGTGTCTCTTTTGGGGTTTTTGAGTAGGTTTCACGATTTCTTCAACTTTTTTCTTGTACGTGTCATCTTTGGCCTTTTTGGGTGGTGTGATGATTTTTTCCTTTTTTGGCACCACAAGTGTGTCATCATGTACTATGACTGGACCGATCTCGTTCGGGAAGACATTTTTGGGTAGGAGCTTATTGCCTTCGCCTCCTGTCTGCAACACGAAAATAATAATTGTTACAAACAGATCATGACAAACAAATACAAGATGTACACAAGACGAATATAAGCACATTCTCAAAGAAATTTCTCTCATTATATTAAATTCATAAGTTTTAAAAGCATTAAAAACATTATAAATGCTTCTAAACTGAACATTCTGTAACAATTACTTTTTCTGTAATTAAACTACGGCAAGCCAAGGTATCATAGTTTGAGAAAAAATGAGAATGATTAGCTGGCTCATCTTTCTTCATCCATCATTTAAAATTTTATCTGCAAGCATATCTCAATATATCAAATCTTTGTTTCTGATGATCATGCATTCTGTACAAATCCTACATTTGGCAGATGAATAACGACCACTAATCAAGGGTAGTGCTGATCAAACCAGAACTTACTGAGCAAACAGGTCTTCTCAAACTCTCACATGATTTGTACAACACACTACTATTAATTCATTTAATTCATTATTAAACACCTAAAATTAAATCTATTTATGCAAGTATGCAACAAAACATTAAGCAACAACACTACAGATGATTTATACATTCCCTAAGCCAGTCCCTGCCATGAATTGTCAACTTCTGAAGCATCGATCACACTTAAACTACCGTAAGAGACAGACAAATGATACTGGGCAAGTTTATGCATCACACAAATTTTCCCTTGCATTCAATAACAATTTATGAGAAAATAACCGACAGTGCATAACTGCCATTAGCCCGAGAACTACACCAAGTCAGGCCAATATTATCCACAAACCATTTGAAAAGAGTTCACCATTGACATGATCAATATGTTTATGAAAAACAAAATATTGAAATAAACATGTTCAAATAAAACAATTCATCCCCAAATACAATTGCATTCAGCATATTTGGTATGTTTAGATTTTGAAAGAAGGTGCAGTCTTCAGAAGGTGTTCTTGGATCAAATGTTGGAACCATTTCACCACGATATGAAGGTGAACTAATGGTGTTCAAGTGATTATCGTTACACCGATGCCGATATGTGCACATCTGTTAGTACAGGCCGTTACTGTAAGTGGAAGCATCCTGTGGAACAACTCCAACCTTGACCCACTCCATCATGTCCATCTTTTACGGGATCAGTTAATTTAAGTAATGCTCTCAGACAATCCACTTGCCTCTTTGCAAGCAGCACTCTATTTTCACAAAATGGTCGTGTAGTGATTTTCCTAAAGGCTTGGAGCCAGTCCTATGTGGCAGTGTTGATTGAAAAAATGATTTCTCTTGAAAATGTCAAAAGGGCAAATGCTGAGAGCGGCTAGAAAGGCTTGACATTCTATCAAGGCAGTCAATCTAACCCCTTCCTTCGATGAACACCCTAGTTAAACAATATATATTACATTCTGCATATGGAAGATCAATCAACAGGCAAATGTGAAATGTGGACTTCATCCCTTAAACACATATATGAATTACTAAATATGAATTTATATGAAATATAAGGCGAGCATATGGATGGCAACTTCTTTAATGTCGACGTTTCTGGGCTACTTCTTGACCCTTCTTCAGGTGTGAGAAGGGGCAAGAAGTAGCCCAGAAATGTCGTCGTGTTATACAATAAAGAAAAGTTGCCATCCATATACTCGTCTTATATATTGGCCAACTTCTAAATGCCTCTCAAGAATCTCTTATTATATAAAATACTTGCCTTAAACTACTTATCTGCAATATCGTACAGAACTGAACCCAGTTGAATGTATTCAAAGAAACAAGATACTGGTTCTGTGTAATGTAAGTTCAGAGAAAGGAAGACAGTTTACAATGAAGTTGTGGGTCAAGGCTTCTGGTAGTTTCCTGCACTATCAGAATATCTATCTGCAAAAGGTGTCCACTCAGACTGTCCACTCCGGGCATTAAGGAAAACAAAATACGTTATACAGTACATTCTTTATTGTGGCCACTTTGTTATACGGGCATGCTCAGGCATAAGTCTCCTCTTTTTTGTCGAATTTTTAAGTGGAATTATTGTATTATTGGGTTTTTTGGCTAGATTGTTTGGTATAATATTGTATGAATGAGATATTTAATGAGTGGTTTAATTAATTTGGGGTTTGTTAGAATGTGATTGGAATTAGTGTTTGTGCTATATCTTGAAATATTTCGCAGCCATGGAGTAATGCAGATCTGATGAGTGATTTATATGATAGTAGTAATGTTTGTTTGTTGCTACCCCATTTACTATGCGATAGGTATTTAATAATGTTGAGATCTGACTTGCATTTTTCTTGTATGAATTGAGTGTGTTTGTTCCACGTTAAGTGCTGGTTTTCATTACCCATATTGCTCCATCGCGGCAAACTTGGATTTATTTATGTTTATACGGAGGTTGTTGAATATATCATCAGATTTGATGGTCTATGGAGACTTTAAAGTCTCTGTCTGTTAGAAAGGCTGATACAAAATTTAGAAGTGCCCCTTTTTTTGCGAAAGCCTGATTGAGTTGTTTTATATACATAATGTGTTTCAAGATATTGTGTGAGGTGGTTGTTAATGAATGGGTATGATAAGGGAATGTTTCCAGGCTTGTGGTATTTGACCGTTTATCCAAGCTGTATTATAAAGTTTTAGTAGTTGGTTTATTAATGACTTGGGAGCGTTTTTAATATGATATAGCTGACATAGACATTGTTTATGTGACTTACCTAGCTTATATAGTTACATATTTTAAATGTTGTTTTTATTCCTTGAACTGTGCCACGGATTCTGTGCCTGCCCGGCATCAGGCAGAGATCCATCAAAACAGATCTTGACAAGATCCGTGTTCCATCCATCATTAAAGTGATGCAGCTCATACATACAGCTGACAAGAAGTCTTGGAGCCAGCAATATATGCATAAGTTTACACTGGTCTGATTCTGCAGGGCAATCCTTTCAGAAAGACAAAACCATGATTGCCTACAGACTTGAGACAATGCAGGTACCCAAAACTAAGAAGAATGATGACCATGATGACTGCCAACACTTTAAGACTTGACAAGAGTGTAGGCCACCAACATACAGTGCCAACAGCCAACTGTACATGACTTGACAAGAGTGTAGGCCACCAACATACAGTGCCAACAGCCAACTGTACATGACTTGACAAGAGTGTAGGCCACCAACATACAGTGCCAACAGGTGCCACCAACAGTGCCAACAGTAACAATACTGACATGACTTGACAAGAGTGTAGGCCACCAACATACAGTGCCAACAGCCAACTGTACATGACTTGACAGAGTGTAGGCCACCAACATACAGTGCCAACAGCCAACTGTACATGGCTTGACAGAGTGTAGGCCACCAACATACATGACTTGACAAGAACAGGCCACCAACATACAGTGCCAACAGCCAACTGTACATGACTTGACAAGAGTGTAGGCCACCAACATACAGTGCCAACAGCCAACTGTACATGACTTGACAGAGTGTAGGCCACCAACATACAGTGCCAACAGCCAACTGTACATGACTTGACAGAGTGTAGGCCACCAACATACAGTGCCAACAGCCAACTGTACATGACTTGACAGAGTGTAGGCCACCAACATACAGTGCCAACAGCCAACTGTACATGGCTTGATAGAGTGTAGGCCACCAACATACAGTGCCAACAGCCAACTGTACATGACTTGACAGAGGGTAGGCCACCAGCATACAGTGCCTACAGCCAACTGTACATGACTTGACAGAGTGTAGGCCACCAACATACAGTGCCAACAGCCAACTGTACATGACTTGACAAAACGAAGTCCTCAATATACACAATGTACAGAGAAACAATCATTGACGACAGTTATCACAACACTTGACACAGATGACCCAAATCCACAGAACCAATGACTGCCAACAGTGCTAGATTTTACACAATATGAATTGATACAAAATACTGGAACAACATGAAGAAGCGACAACTGCCACAATCCTAACACAATTTATATCTAAAGCTACCAAAGAGATACTACAATACTAATGATGCCAGGATATTAGTGCATCCAAGTTTACAAGAAACAGCCTGATAATTAATGGAAAGCGTGTATGAATTTCAACCATCCATCCTTCTTTAACCCATTGCCCCAAGTCACTACCTAACACATTCCCTCACCAAACAAAATCCCATAAAAAATACTTTTTTACAACATGAGACAAACATGGATTCAGCAAAGTAACATCAATAAGAGCCTGTGTTTCTAATAATGTAAGAATCTGACTGAGACTTTCTTAAGATTTCAGAGAAATCTCTTCTGGGGAATTAGCAGCGACAGTGCTGTGACCATTTGCTGGCAGACTCTGCATTGTGATTGATGAAAGTATTTGCAAACACATCAATCTGCTTCGCAATTTTTCCCCACCTCCATTAAACTAGCTTTGGCCATTTCAGGACAAATTAATCTGAAACAACTCCTCTCTCAAACTCCCTATGACCTTCTCAAAGAAATGGTTTTATTGGTAAATGCCATTTGCAGTCTTTGAGAGAGAACGGAAGTAAAAATGGCTGAAATGATTGAGGAGATGGCGGCTGAAGATTTCTCCAGCATTTATGCAATCTGGGTCTCTACCACAACGGCAAGATCTGTGACAAAATACCTCAATTGACCAAAGATCATTAGCCTTTGTCCAGATCTTTACTGTTACCATGGTTACAAAAGAACCTGAGTCACCCCTTTATTACCTTGTTCCTGTATGCATCACAAATGTTTCCAGGCATTAAGTGAAGTGGTTGATAGATGGAAACTTTGTACAGTATTACGGTATCACTACAGCAGAATATGGAAACTCGCTGATATTTAGGTACATTATTAAGCATTCATTGAACTACTCGTCCCTTTCCGTAACCTGAAAGTAGACTCGTGCCCCTCTTGTAGCCATGTCCAGGAGAAATATTCCCCCAGCCAATCAGAATGCGCGTACGTAGAGAAGAAATTGGGTTAAATTAGTTAGTTGAAATAATTTTCATTTCGGCTTGCATAATTTTTTTCCC